AGTGGGAGCGGGGAGGAAACCTTTAGGAACTAGAGGAAAGTTGTATTTCTCATCATTGTTACATCGCACCCTGACTGGCTCATCTCCTCCCCGAGACTCCTCTGCAAGGGGATCTCCAGTGGCGGCCGGTGGTTTTTGAACTGCTGGCCATGCGTGTTACAGCCCAGGGTGTAACCAGGGCTCCGTCCCTGCAATATATGCTCCCTTCTTCAACGGGGATGGCAGAGCCAGCTGAGGATGTGGAAATGCTACTCTCGTCCGTGTTTTGGTGTCCTGGTCACACCTTGGGCTGTTAACTTCGCAAAGCCAGCAGTTCAAAACCACCAGCCGATCCATGGGAGAAAGATGAGGCTTTCTACCCCCATAAACAGCTATTGTCTCACAAACATACAGGGTCGTGATGCATTGGCATTGAGACTTGATGGTGGCGGGTTTTGTTTTGTTTTGTTTAGACAAGAGAAAACTATTTCAGCACCCCCTCTGAAGTTCAAAAGGAACTTACTAAACAATTGGGGTGGGGTGGGGATGGGCTGCTTTCCCTTACTCCTTCTGCAGTTATTACTGTGAGCTGAATCCAGGTCTGACGCCTGTACCAGGGAGTGGGACCCTTCCTGGCCCTGTGCCTCCCCCGGGGATGGTCCGAGGGTGAGCCGGCTGTGATACACAAGCTTTCCCTGGCTCATTCTGGGAAGCAGGTCGCCAGGTCTTTCTTCCTCGGCTTAGCCTGGAAGCTTCACTGGAATGTGCCCAGCATCACGGCCACATGCAGGCTTCCTCCAAAGGATGAGTGGTGGCTACCCCGGAGGTGCCTTAGCGGGAATCGAACTCGGTCTCCGCATGGAAGGTGAGAATCCTGCCACGGAATCCCCAATGCCCTCACGTCTCCGCTTTAAGAGCAAAATCAAACAGACTCACCGTCGGCGAGCTGGCTCTGTGGAACTGCCACTAGGGTTTTCAGGGCGGTGAACCTTTAGGGGAGCGGATGGCCAGGCCTTGTCCCCACTTCTCTGAGTTTGGTCGCCCTCTCTACCCTTCTCCGTGCTTCCACCTTAGGCACACGGACTGCCCCCGGGCCCCTTACCATCAGCCTCCGCATCCTCTCCTTCTCGATCCGCTCCGTCTCCTTCTTCTGCTCCCTCTCTGTGTTGGCATGCCAGGTGGCCACCGCCTTGGAAAGCTTCTGGGTCTTCCCGGCCACTGAGCGGTGGTACTCCTTGAAGTCCTTCGCATGCTGCAGGATGCTGTTCAGGTATTCCTAGGAGCACGCAGCGGGAGAAACAGCCGGCTCAGGCCTGCTTCCCCTCCCAGCGGACCCCACCCCACCTCCCGCCCGAGAAACAGCAAGAACCTTGTTTTGTGACAGAGGATGGGGAGGCGTCTGCGAGGGTGAGACCCGGGCCGGGGGGAGCAGTGGCCCCACACAGCTTGTTTGGTGGCCAGGCCGAGATGTGTGGCCTCCTGGGGGCGGAGCAAAGCTACCTGCCATGCGGTTAGGAGCACAAAGCTCTAGTGCAGGGTTTCCCAAGGTGGGCGCTACTGCAGCCTGGGGAGGGGCCGCTGGAACAAGGGGGGCAGGACCCTGCAAAAGCAGACGCCTGAAACTGATCCTGGATGATGGGCCAGAGACGGGCGAGGAGCCTATTTCATTTTTTTGGTCTGAAAAGGGGGCAGATGGCCAAATACGTTTGGAAGCCTCTGTTTGACGCAAACAACGTGCACGTTATTTTGCGAGCCTCACAGCTACCTCCGGCCGGCAGCTCCTACGCTTGCCAGGGAGGGTATATGCGTGTGCACAGTCACCTGTGCGGAACCCGGTCTTGGCAGTGGCCTGCTTTAGAGCCAATCATTCCCAAATGAACCTGGAGAATCAGGTGTGCCCCATGAGAATCACGTTCCGAAAGCCAAGCTACTGTAAAAGTCAGACCCATGGCCACCAGCTCCGGCTCGCAGGTGACCCCACGCTCGTCAGAGAGGAACCGTGCTCCACCGGCTTCCAGTGGCCGGGTTTCAGAAGCAGATTGACAGGCCTTTCTTCCAATGCACCTCTGGATGGGCTTGGCCAACCACTCGCCCCGCCCGGGGCCCCCTGAGCTAATTTGATCACGACCCCAGGTGAGTTGAGGCAAAGCTGCCAGGTGTGATTTGTATCAACTTTTTAAGTCAAATCAGGGGCAGGTATCCTCTAGTTATCACAAGACACAGCATTGTTTTCGAAAACACAGTCAGCTGAAGCTCAGTGAGGCACAGAGCAACGACGTAGCCCTACGGGAGTGCACAGGGCAGGGACATCGCGTCAAACTCTGTATCAGGATGAACGGGACTGTCCCCACGAGCATGGGGACATTTCTCAGAGGGTCTTCCTACAGGCATGTGTTTGTATGTGCTGCTAATATGCCCAGGTCTACAGAGCACACAGGGGTCCTGTTGTGCAAACTTCTTAGCCCTAACCAAACACCCCAAGCGTCTGAATCACTGGGCTTGAGGCACAGGACCATCGGCTTAGGGTCAAGGTCATAGTCAAGGTCAATGGGCATACAACAGTCCACACAGTGTTCTACATCCTACTTCCTTTGGGGAGCAGTGACTGAGGTCTTCAAAGTGGGCAAGTTTGCATCAGAGATGCAGCGATCGGGCTTTCCGCCCACCATCCAGGGCCATGAAGAAGAAGAAAATCAGAGGCCCAGGGAGACCGTTAACCCAGAGGCCCAATGCCCCACGTGAGCCACGTGAATGCCTGCTTCTGAGACGCTCGGGCCTGAAGGACTAGGTGGTCCCTGGCGACCACAGCTGACCGCTCTGATCCGGGGCCACAGGAGATGGCGGGCAGAATGGGACACAAACATGGGACTAAAGTCAAAATTCCAAGAGAAATTAAACCAGGCTTGAGCACCGGATCTGACGGAGACTGGAGGAACCTTGGACCCTAGGGCTGCCCCTAGGGACCCCTTTTGGGGCCCACAGTGGACAGGCCCCCAGAGGAGTCGTGGCAGCAGAGAGGAACGTGCTCCTCAGGCAGACCACTGGCCGGAGTCTGGAGGGCAGCTTGTACCTCAAAGCCGAGCGCCGGGGCTGGGGGAGAGGGCCAGGCCTGGGGAGTTGGGGGGCGGGGAGCCTGCGGCACCTGGTGCTTCTGTCTCCGCTTCCGCTCCTGCTCGATCTTCTGCTGCTTCTCCAGCTTCTCCGTCATTCGGGCCTCGCGCAGCGTCTGCCGCTTGCTGCGCTTGTAGGCCTTGGAGTTGAGGGCCGTCTCCAGGGTGGTGTCCCGGCGCATGCAGGCCACCACCTCCTGCCTCAGCTGTGGGAGGAGAGTGGTCAGGGGGGAGTCCTCTACGGGAGGCCCGTTCCAGTCCCCAATCTCCTGTCACATCCCTTCAACGGAACAGAGCCGGGGCTTGACGCTCCTTCTTTAAGCCACCAGAAAGCAAAACAAACTCACTGCCGTTCTCGCTCACAGAGACACGATGCGGCAGGGTTACAGGGCAGAACTGTCCCCGTGGGTTACGAGACTGCAACTCTCCAGAGTAGAAAGCCTCCCTTTCTCCCACAGAGTAGCTGGTGGTCTCGAGCTACCGACCTTGCAGTTCAGAGCCAGTTGCCATCAGTCAGTTCCGGCTCACAGAGACCGAAGGGCAGAACAGAACTGCACTCTGCGGGGCTGGCAGTGGCCAGCGCCCCCCATTAGACCTCCAGTTCTTTCTTCTGAGGCACTTCTGGGTGGGCTAGAACCGCCAACCTCTTGGTGAGGGGCTGCTCCCGTCTCCATTGGCGCCACCCAGGGACAGTCCCTGCCGGGCACAGCTAGCTCTTCCCCAGATGAAGGCACATGACAATGACACATACCTATGGTCTTTTCGAAGCGAGGATAAGCCCGCTTCCCAAATCAGCCAGATCAGAGCAATGATGACCCGGGAGGAGTGTTTAAAAAGAAGAAGGGAAAAAAACCAAAAAAAAAAAAGCAAAAACCCCAGCCAGCCAGCAAGCAAATGCCGCCCTGGCTTTTGGATAGATGAATGCGTTCCAGCTAATTATTTTAATGATATTAATTAGATAATGGGCTTTCGTGTTTCTTTCTTTTTTACTTCGTTTTCAAAACGCTACCAACGCTTTCTTTGTGATTAAAGGGTAGCTTTCAGGAGGCTCTGTGAGCGGAAGAGAAAAATGACGTCTGATTCCCAAGGCGGTGGCGGCAGGTACCCAAATGCCGTTCATTCAGAGAGGAGAGAGATGCTGCTCCGGCTGCCTTCCCTCCCATTCCAAACAACAGCGTCTTTCCAGAACAGTCTATGTTTGGCACACTGCCACCGACTTGTTTTATAGGACCATAAATACAATATCTTACTAATGATCTCCCGTGATGTGGTAGGCAGGAGCTGGGGAAAGGGGCTGGGAAGACACAGTCAAATAATTCAATGGAGTTAATTATCACTTGCGATTCTCCTCCGTGTAATTGGGGAGGCTCACTGGCGAGAGAGTTTTCAATGCTGTCCCACCAGCAGCCACCAGTAAGACACCAGCTCGATGAAGCTCATTTAAATATACTCTCAGCTCTGCCGGCACATTGGGCTCATCTCTTGGCTGCTCAGGTGATGGGGTCTCATGGAGACCCTATCGGACAGGGTAGAACTGCTCCTGAGAGCTTCTGAGACGGCAACTGTTTGCGGGTGTAGAAAACCCCATCTTTCTCCCATGGCCCAGCTGGTGGTTTTGAACTGCTGACCTTGCTGATCACAACCCAATTCATGACCACCAGGGCCCTGTGTATCCCTGTGCCCTGAGTGCAAGGTATCAGGTGGTAGCTTTCTGTGTTGCAACATTCCTTGCAGGCCTTGACCAGGCACCTGAACCAATCCCCTATCAAGAAGAGAGAAGTGGGACCCTCAGAGGTTAGCTTCTGTCCACTCTCACATGCCTAAAGCGCCCCCACCCCACCCTGCCCTGCTGCACCCAGAGGCCTGTGTTTTGCACCCACGAGGGGCAGGCTTGAACTTCTGCCCCTTCCTGCAGACTAAGGTGCCCTTGACCCAAGCCATGGTATGTGTAATCGCCTCATAATGCATGCAGAAGTTGGACCTCGAATAAGGAAGACCAAAGAAGAATCGATGGTTTTGAATAACGGCGCTGGGGAAGACTGAAAGCACCGTGGACTGCCCCAAGGACAGACAAATCCGTCTTGGAGGAAGCTCGGTCAGGGTGCTCCTCAGAGACGAAGATGGCGAGACTCCCACTCAAGTACTTTGGACATGTTATCAGGAGAGACCAGCCCCTGGGGAAGGACTTCCTGTTTGGTCAAGGGGAGGGGCAGCAAAAATTAGGAAGACCCTCCACGAGACGGATGGACACGGTGTGTGATGATGGGCTTAGGCATGGGGCAACGGTGAGGCAGCGTCTCCTTCTGTTATGCGTGGGATCCCTGTGGTCAGGGCCGAAGTGCCAGCGCCTGACATCCTCCATCGGACTGAGCCACGCAATTCAGGGCTTCCCCAACTTCCCTGCACACACACTCCATGCCCTACGCCGGGGACCTAAGGGAGCAGGCCTCTCTGTCCAGCAAGGAATGCTCCTCTCACGGTGGGCTGAGAAGGCAGGGGGGGGGTGGGCTCCCGGGCAGAAGTCACCGAAGTAAAAATCAGCTCTAGGCTCCCGTCACTAGCCTTCTCCTGCTACAAACCAGAAGGACTAGCAAAAGACAGCATTGTATGTCTGTTGACATTCCTATTCGTTATGGGAAAAGAAACAACGGCAGGGTACGTCCACCCCACCCCGTGTCAGAGCAGAACCATGTTATGTAGGGTTTCCAACGGCTGGTTTTACCTTTTGTTTGTTTCTAGTTGATCGCCAAACCTTTCTTCTTGTGCACCTCTGGGTTGGCTCAACGTGGCCCTTGTGGTCAGTAGCTGAGTGGTGTTTGCTCCGGCCGGGGACCCCACTTCTATTACCAGGTTTGACTAAGAACCCTGGGGGGTCCCTGGTGGCACCAACAGCCAACTCTCAAACCCACTGCCCTGGGGTCGATGCTGACTCACAGCGACCGGCAGGACAGGGTGGAACTGCCCCCGGGGGTTCCGAGACTCACTCTTCACAGTAGTATAGTGCCTCATCCTTCTCCAGACAAGTAGCTGGTGGTTTCAAACTGCTCACCTTGCCTAGGAGACCACACAGTTGAGGAGAAACTGTCTACAGAGCTGCTGCAGCAGAAACCCCCCTGGCTGTGTGTGTGTGTGTGTGTTGGGGGGTGGGTGCCTGCCCTCTGAAGCTTCTACTTGATGCCCCCTGGGAAGGAGCCCTGGTGGTAGAGTGGTCACGCGTTGGACCGCGTGGTCGGCAGTTCGAAACCACCAGCAGCTCCTCGGGAGGAAGACTGGGCTTTCTACTCCAGTCAAGTTACAGTCTCAGGAAACCAGGAGTAGGGGTCGCTATGAGTCAGCATGGACTCGATGGCAGTGAGTTTGGTTTGGTTTGGGATCAGACTCAGGAGCCACCCCTGCAACACAGTGAGAACGGCCCTTTGCCGTTCCCTTTCCTGGGGCTGGGACAGGAACTACCTGACGCTGGAAATTGAGCAGCCGCAGCGCCTTCAGCTCCACGGTGGCTTTGGTCCGTAAGTCCGGGGGCAGGGAGCCGGGCAGGTTTTCCAGCTCCTGGATCCTGTGTGCGATGCGGGCCTGCAGTCTGAGGACAGAGAAGCACGGGTGAGCAGGAGCTGCCAGGCCAAAGCACCATCAGTCAGAGGGGACCTGCCACCCCTACGACTCTACTGCACATTCCCCGGATGGTGTCAGACCCCCAAGTGGGTTGTCTGAAGTCCATGTGGCTGGAGAGACCTCCCTTGGTGTGGGTGCAGACAGAGGCTGCAAGGGACTCGGTACCCTCACGGGCAACGGTAGGCGGTACAGACCCATCTGACGGTGTGAGGGAGAAAGACCAGGCCATCGGCTCCCCTATAGGGACAGCGGGTAAACCTATCACGTGGGGCCGCTGTGCATGGGAATCCACCAGCAGCACCTGCCCCCACCCTCCCCTCATCACACTCCCAGCAGCCAAGCATAAGGAAGGACTCGGATTGTGGGCAGCGAGGCTGATGCAGACGTCAGTGCTGGACAAGCAGAAGGGATGGTGGG